AGCGTCGGGTGAGGCGGCGTTGGCGTTCGTGCTGCTTTGCACCTGTCACGGACCGCGTGATTCAGCAGTAGCCTAAGTATGAATGGACTTGGTCTACGCCTAGCGAACGCTAGCAGTATGACGGTATGGCTGTTGATACATGCCTTCATCCAACTATACCTAGCCTTTGGAAAGTTTTTGCAGGTCGCCAGTGCTCTCGCTGTGACCGCTAATGCTATAGGGTGTTTAGTCATAGATACCGTGCTTATGCAGAGACAAATTCAGGGGCAAATTCATAGGTACCACAAAACTAGAAAGACTGGTTCGAAGAGGAATTGTCGTTCCGGTATGACGTTGCCCGCCGGTTCGTTCTTCTACAGTAAAGAGCTTCCGCGGCCAAACGACGGCAATAGCAGTAGCTGCAAGAGCGTCCATTGTTTTATGCACCGCTGCTGCCGCTGCTGCTATTCACCCCCTCAAAATGAAAGCTTTTCTCCTGCATCAACCAAGAAGAAATCTTAACGCAGTCCGGCGTCGCCAATCGCTGACAGCGGCTCATACAAGTTTTCCCAGGACGGTGTACACGCGAAGTGCGCGACGTGTCATGAAATATATGGAAACATACGCTTATGTTGCCTGTGTGAATGCTTTGTGTGTGACGTCAGTATTTTTGACGACGGAAAATTAGCGTACGGAAAATCACTAACAGGTTTGACTGATGATGAATATCATGTAATGAGTATGGTAAGCCATAGCGGAAATCGGCTCTCTACATTTCTTCGTGTTGCATTTCGTTTCTCTGCAGTAGCTGCAGTTGCAACAGCAGACATAAGAAAAAAAAGGTATTGTGAAGCTCAATGAAGTCGCTGAAGTATGTGAAAATGGGGTACTAAGACAGTGATGACAGGAAACTCACCGTGTATTTAATGAATTTCCAGATCAGGATAATGAATGATTTGCAGGACAAATTTAAAGTTAGCTAAATGATTATAAAATACGATTTGGGGTTGGTGTTTCCGGGGGGTCGGCATTACTAACGGAAATGCTTGTATGGACATATTGTTTAAATGCGCAATTAATTAGACATTGAAAAAAAAACTTATGTTTGTTTTCACTTATGTTACACTTATGTTTTTAAAAGTCTGTAAGTAACTGTATGGACCAATATGACAGCTGACAGAAATGAGCAGGCCACCTTTTAATGACCGAGTAGTTCACACATTCAGTTGCCCGTAACGTTCTTGAGACTTGAATAAGCAGAAAGCAATAGTTTAAACGAGTGTGTCGAAAACTGTATCGGTAGCAACTACAAAGTAAACAAAGTTTTGTCTACTCTGTAATGTAACTTTTGAGCTCTCTCTAACATAAACATAGCATATTTTCGTGTGGATAATAACCTTAAAAACGAAATACCCACTATATAGTAAGTACGAATAAGTTAAAGAAGTGTCTGCTCGACGTTTCACCATTCGGCAATAATATTGCCCGCGTCCAAAAATCGTTTCTACGATATCTCGGCCTTTGTCTGGAGTTAAATCCTATTACATGCAGTTGACATTGCTCCACGTTTAGGTTCAGCACTCGCCAAGGCTTGCTTTCGGCTACTTAATTAGCAACTTAGGAAGAATTATCAGAGATGTCCGGAAACTTAATAGAAGGAAGCCACTAAATGGTTGAACAAGGTATAGCGATTATAGTGGTAATGTTATGTAAAGATGGCACGAGGATATCCGTACGTCCCTATCTGCCTCGTCGTCTCTTTCAACTAAAGTCGCTAATGAAACGTGAATAGGTCGATCTATAATATCAAAAATCTACCCGTGGATGATTTGCCTCACTCAAACGAAGGTTATTACCTCATTGTCTATCGCCATTCTGGTGGTTAGCAGCTGTTTAGGCTTTGCTTTCCATACTTTCGACAATTTCTTTAATTAGCGTCTAACCTCCATTGCTTGTACCGGCTTGATTATCTCCCGCTTCCTCTATTTACCTTTATGCCTCATTAAATGCTGGCGCTACTAATTCTTCCTCGTCGAATGCAGCCCACCGCCCATTCGGCTTTGTCCTTAGCCCATTAAACATCTTTCGTATTGTAGTTAGTCGCGCTACTTCCGCAACGTATCCAGCGGACCGTGTGTATGCATTTTGTAATTTTCGCTCATTCCCTCAAAAACCCGTCACTGGTCCCAATCGAAGTGACTGTCATGAAAGGGTAAATACAAAGACATACAAATGCATAGATGAGCTAACAAATACCAACAGGAGCCTACTGCTACTTGAAGCTGAATTCGTTTTGCAAGCTTGCGTGTCGTAACAGGCCTTCGGCGGTACTATATCTTTCTTTGGGGTCTCTGACAAACGAAACGAAGGGAAGGATAAAACCTCTCCAATTGAGTACTACACACACATATAGGATGCCCGACGATAAGAGGTGTTATTGTAGCGCGTAGAACAAGGAAACAGGAGAAGCCAACTAGGAAGACACATAATACAACAAGTAGGCAGGTGTATGCGCCTAAAATAGGAAAAGCAGAAACGCTTGTTACTGGAGCTCATCGACGCGGGCTTCGATACGGGAGAGAAAGTCGGTTTGGAGTGGCTTTGGGTGGACGCTAAAGAAATATCTACGCAGATCCGTTATGGTGTGAGGTGATATATGTCGCATAGCAACTTGTGCAGAAATGAGACCGGGATGTTTCATACGGCCCGCTTCTCAAGGCCTGTCACGGGTCGTTTGACTCTTGTTTTCAGCGTTGCTGCGTGCGCTGCATTCGATAATGATACATAACGTATAAGCTGACGGCGACGTTATGCCGGACTAGCATCGTAAGTCGTTATCGTATGGTTCGAAATGTCATTTTGCCATACGGGGTGGGTCGTCGCGGTCGGGTGCCGTCAGGAGCTTTTGGCCTGAAACATGAAACTGGGGCTAATCTAACACTGCACTCAGTAGTAAATCGAATCGACGTATCCATGCCGAGTAGATTGGCTGTATTTTTAGGGAGAGTTCCGACCAGGCGTCTGCTTTCTTGATATTGATTGTAAATTGTGGTAGAGCTTTTAATGTTTTCCCTTGAAGATAGCGTGGCACCAGCTGACACAGAGTATTGCCTCGAAAAAGAGTGAACTTTTATTTACTTCCGTATCGGTACGCATCTGAGAAACATACATCTGCATTGCAATGGAATTCATTTTCCGAGGCAAATTTCCTCCTTATGTGCACATTTTATAAGGTAAGCAGCAGGTTCATGAAAACACTTGACTCGCGCGGTAGCCGATTGAGACCGAACGCGATTGTACACAGCGCTGTGATGAAAGCGGCTAACTAAAGCCAAGTTATTACCTTACATTTATCACAACAGTTATAATGCATTTGGCAATAATAAATGTAAGACAACATTGAGATCGTTGCGCCAGCACCAGGATTAATAAGCTTATTCCTGTCCTATTCAGTACCATCTTTGGGTTATTTTTTGGTTTTATCTTTTTATGGTTCTATTCAATTTAAACTTGAGAAAGTAAACAAGTTATAGCTTCGACGATTCAACGTATGTCCACGCGGTAACGATTCGCATACCATTGTAGGAGGCTGGTCACCGCGATTCAGCAGGTACGGTCCACAATCGATGTACGCGGCTGGATAATATAAGGAGGATAAACATAGCTAGCGAAAAAAAAAAAAAAAACTATCCAAATGTGAAGATTACGACCGATAGAAAACAGCCATCTGGGCTCTATCGAATTGCCTCTAGCTAGCCGACTAAACACTTACGACTTAAACGCCATTCGGCACGAACGCCAAAGAATAAGTTACCTCAAAATCGGTACCGCTAGACTTAGTGGCGTCATATATAGTTGCTTGACTTTCTTTTGTTCATTTTATTAGTAATAATGGCGGTATTTTATTTTCCGTGATCTAAACGTTGGAACACGTGAGGTAGTCTGGGTTCGAAGGCCGGCATGGATAGATATTGTTTCACATTAGAAGGTTAGCTGTCTAAAAAATGCTTACCGGAAAGCAGTATTGAATATAAAATTAACAAAAAGTAGTAATTCAACGTATGTCATAGAGCTCGTTTAAAACTCGCTGCAGTCATCGCAGCATTACTAAGTCCTCCGAATGGGTACAGAAACATCTGTTTGTGGGCTATTTAGTTTTCTCAAGTTGCTTAGAAGCGATGAACTTATCATCTTGTAAGCGTTGAACGATAAAGAGATATAGTCAGGGGCTGTTTTGTTTGATCATTGTAAGTTCGCATTTAGGTGATTTGAGGCGACTATGGTGGATAATACCGTATCCTGTGCATGAAGTTTGTTAATGTACCCTGGCACAATTTTGCAGCCATCTAGATTCATAAAGCGTGCGTATATATATATATATATATATATATATATAAATATATATAATGAACATTACACACACATAATATATATATACTTACACATTAATATTATACACTACATTATATATATATGTATATATTATAATGTAGTGTTTAACTGCTTCTCAAAGAAGTTTCTTTTGCTTTTTGCTGATTTCTTTGCTGCTACCCCCTTCGTTCTTATATGATCGCTTAAAAGTTAGCATAGCAGACCGATCGTGCCCTTTACAGATTAAGATACGGGGTTGCATAGCGCATTATGTCAATGATTTTATTCCGCTTTTAAAAAGTCAATCTGTGGACGAAAGTTGTGGTGCTATCGACTAAATCAGCCGTCTCCATCTTTCACGAGAGATCGTGTAAATCGAAGTTTATTCAACTTTAATATACACATATCTATCATATAATAATATAATTCACATGTCCTTGTTACAGTTCACTACTAGCACTCCGGCGTTGTATGAGTGCGAGAATGATAGCTGAGGTAAGGTGCGTGATCGCCAAAATTCAAAATGTCGGAATCGCTCTACACACATGGTACTGCACTTGTAGTACACAGAGCACCGTAGATGTTGGACGTTTTGAGTGACCAAACACACATTTCCGTATACCTTAAAAAATTCTGTTGTTTGTTTAAAGGCACCACTGTATAGCCGCGTTGTTAATACAGTATAACGGTGAGTACACTCGTACAGATCAGTCGCCAGTGATGCGAAAGCGAAACAAACGACTCGAAGCGTACGGTATACTACAAGGCAAGCTTCCTCCCCATACAACCGTCAACTAGTGCTGTTAGTAATGTGGATGTAATTCTTCGATGAGTCAAAACACTTTTCATATTCAAGTTTATATATCATGCCAATGTCTAGTCTTCCCGATGCCCCTGTACGTGTTACAGTTTCATTTACAGTGTTGACCGCTAGAGGTTCCTACCTGTAGCATTTGTATACTAAGTCAATATATCGAGCTTGTCAACGTTAACGACTACCGTTATTGCAGCCACTTCCGGCGTCATCATAAAACAACTGCTCAATCACAATAACAAAAAAGCAGCTGCTGCTGCAGCAGCGGCAACAACATCTAAACTGCAATCGACATAAGAGGTGCGTTTGCCGTTTCGTATTTTCTCAGTCTTATATTTTGCCCCTCTTCTCGATTGCCGACCTATCCAAGGGATGGACATGATTATAACGATGGTAAAACTATGACTACTACACTATGCTACGCATTATCGGCATAAAACTGCCTTGTGTTAGACTGCTTCCCCAGTTACTGCTGCGTCTGCAACTCCCTTCCTTCCACGTGACATAACAACAATAACGATGAGAGTCGTTCCAGCTGAGCTGGAATTACAAGATTCAACCTACGACTATGACTTTGTTTTGTGGGACTTTTAATAGGCAATTGTGTTCAAGAATTATTAACCTTTCACCTCCGCCTGCCGGAGTACCTACCTGCTAGCGTCGGCAGGACCCAGCCCCTTGTTACACGCACTCGATGGATGCGTGATGGACAACAGCGTTGTGGAAAGTTCCCACGGCAACGACGCCAGCCGCCGCAGTAGTAATAACAATCATGACAAAAAAGAACAACAGGGACAATGTGACTATTAACATGACTGATAGCAGTAATTAATTTCGTAACAAAATTCAAATAAGGAGACAGTACACGAGATAAGGACGAATAATGATAAGACCATTTGACTGCTTGAGCTACGAGTTACCCTAGGCAATGCGTAATGGCAAATTCGTGGGAGGAAGAGATTTAACGTCCTACATAGAGATGCTGCCGAAGGTTGACGAAAAAGGAACTTCTTACTCCGTACGTGGTCGCGTCTGAGTCACGCACAAAACTAAACACAGTAGTAGGCAGTTGTGATAGCCATTTGTCAAAGCAATGCGTTGTTGTTGTTATAAAGAAGCGCACGTACTTAAGGTTCCTGAAAACCCCGTAGAAGTGACCTCAGTAAGGTTTAAGTTAAGTATGGAGGTTCGTGAAAGTTGCACAGAAGGCTATTTCTGTTATTTTGCGAAATTTTATTAGAAATCAGTGGATGTTTTTGATATTCTAACTCGTTGCCAACTGGATTCTTCGAATTAGCGGCTAAAAAGGCAAATTTTTTACAAACTTGTTTGCCTCTTACACTTCGTATCTTTAGGACCTCTGGCCTGCTTTTTTCAAATGGCTTAGACCCTGGATTAAAGCAATAATCGAAGCGAACAGTAGTCACATTCAGTAAACGCACCTATGAGTGATCTTTCTGTCGGCACATGTAAAAATCTGTTCTCATTCCCTATGCGTGTTGTGGGCGAGTCTTAAAGAGCGACACCGAGTCTTGTTCAATAAGAGACCTAGCCAGTAAGGCCACCGGACCTTCGACTTCGAATACGTTGCGTGTAGGGTTATTCATATAGGTCACACACGTTGGTTAAAAATTTCGTTCCAACATCTTCGGGTGCTTTATACATTAAGGGCATCATCACATACTACTAATGCGGTTTTCGTCATCTAACGTAGTTTTTTTTTGCAATAGATAAAAACGTATATCTAAGGCATTGCTAAACTTCGGGGTAATCATGATGCGGCCGCAAATCAGCATCAAGCAATTAAACCTATAACAATCTCATTTATCACCCGTTGTATATGGACTTTTACATCAGTTTGTAGCCCTTTTTCGTTAATCACGGATCCCAGGATAGCCAGTTCATACTTTAGCGGGTCCGCGCAGGCTTATGCATTCGCTAAATATCTAGATAATTGTATATAGTTTTTCATGGTACTGAACGAAAACGACGTCAGTCACACTAGTTGGCAAAACAGTATCACGGATGAGTTATCGTTCATGAATGACTGTTTTAAAAAAGCGAAGGAACACTGCCAAAATCATAAATAATAATGGCTTTAATACAGTTTCTTCGGTAGTCGGTTAATATAATGTTCCATTGGTCCGAAATAGTTAAGTGGATTACAGGTAAACTACCACAGTTAAATCCAATTTACTTACCCATAATTCATTCAATTTGCCGGGAAGTTCCCACCTTGTTACGTTGTTCTCAAATTGCGATTTACTAAATGGCTATATGCCTCCGAGGTTTTCCTTTTTGCCAGTAATTCCAAAACACTATACTAGAACTGTCTCCTGCTTGCCCCAATATCTACGTGGGGCAATAATGAAAAAGATAATAAAAAAACCATTTATCTAAATAGAGAGTGCCACACGCCCCGTAATTTACATTCGACATATCGAAGTGTCGAACATGCATGTCCTATTTAAAATTCTCCCATTCTTCCATACTGCATTAATAGTAATCGCAACAAGTTTCGCTTTCGCTATTTGCGCAAGCATCCAAGTTCCGGATTCCAATATACCAAAGTTCCAAGCAAGTTCCGGATATAGGCCACTGATTACTAGTTTATTACGTTGGGTGCCTAGACGAACCGATGGGCAGCGATTGTCACCCACAGAAGCGTGCAGGCCCCACTTCACTGACTAGTACCATATATCTGGTGATAAGCTCTGAATACAGTATTACTGATATATTGCCTGTAGCCCTCATCAACTACTATATCAAATCACATATATGGGAATCTATGTATCTGCAAGTCCGAGATAGCATGGATGAAGGCCTCCAAGTACAGGTCTGATCATATAGTTCAGACAGTATGCGGATAACCCTCTACCACAGATCATACGCTATACCTCGTGTGCTGCTAAGAGGAGCAGGTGGCTAGAGGAAAGGAAGACAAGTATATCTATCATGGCGGGAAACGAAAGGGGCAAAACAATAAAACATGTTAAGAAAAACGCAACGAAAACATATGAACAAATAAAGAAAAATCATGCTGTTAATAACGATGACAATACTGAGCAATGTATCCGTAAGACTCTTCACTGATGATGCAGTTGGAATGTTTCTATGGAAGAAAAAAGAATCTCCTTCGGGACACAACGCCGCGACATCAACAGGCCAAGCATTGTGGCTACAGATTTATTGTTTATAACCGCTAGTAAAAAATCATAATTTAATGTAAATATAGTTCGCATATGCAGCGCTCGTTGTCGCAATCTTGCTTGACCTAACGCGTCGAATTTTCTGAAATTTTATACTTATTATGGTACACTATTATGGTAATATATATATATATATATATATATATATATATATATATATGGTGATATAATCTTAAACCTTTCTAAGCGATCTCGTCTTAAAATGGGCCATATTTTAATGTAACTACCATTATGGAACTAACGCGTAACTTGTTATCGGCTTTGATGAGCTTATAATATTGTTTCTATCACAACAGAGAGAAATTAGATAAGAAAAATTTTGTTACGCACATGTAAAATCACGCGAAAATTGCGTAAATTATGATAGAAATGACATTATATATGTAATTTTATATAAAAGTCGTTTTATAGTTGTATATAAGTTGTGTTAAAAAAATGTGGTTAAGTATTCGTTAGATAGAAGGTAAAATGATAAATGTCCTAGGTAAATACGTTACCTTTGTGTTACGCGCATCTATTAAATTGTCTGTAACAACGTGCGTTCATGTCTTAGAACTGTACGTGTAATGCTATCGTGCGCATTCAGTAAATGGCAGATTTCCTATATTAACACAATGATATACTTGCGTTTGAAAACTTCCTCGTCAAATCCGTAAGGCCGGTTTCGAAACGCATCATAAATCAAGCGAAAGTTGAGCTTAGCATTATTCGATAGACGTATAGCCGCCAGTCTACCAACTATATTCTTAGCATGACGTAATAAATTCAATAACATCTAAGTGGACTAGCCAATCAACTTGATACCATACAAATCACTTCGTTCTTTTTCCGGACTTCAGTAAACCGCCAACGGTCGCTGGCGAGACGTGGTCTGCTCACCGTAAGTCTGCGCCGCGTTACCTTGAGATTACGGCTAGAAACTACACTATCCGTACGACTGGACTCCGCGAAGGCTTCTGCGAGTTCTGGAAAGCCTACCTTCTACCAAAACGGCACCGGCAATAATCATACAAACGCTTAACGTTTGTTGGTGGTTGGTATTTATAACAATTATTGAATATTGTTTACGAAATAAAAACAAGGCATTGTTTAATTCTTATTGTGACGACGCCGGCGAACGTCAGTTTCCGGTGGGATACAACATAGGCAAAGGTCGCAGTCGTTCTTAATAATGTTGTTACTACATTTTCGCTACAAAAGACTGTTAGGCCGGCTATCGCATGGTCCTTCTAAATCCTTGATGGTGGCCTGCCCGTATTCAGGTGCTTTGACAAAATTTTGAAAATAGGCTTGGAACATTCCAAGCGGCGTTTCTTTTGTCAAACTTAAGCTAAATATATGAAAAAACGTACCCAACAGGTCAAACATTTCTGGTCTATGAAAAATATCTATGTGAAAGCTATTTTGACAAAATCTCTTACCCCTGACTTTTCTACAATCGCGTTCATCTCACCGTATGATGTTACAAGAGATATTGCATTGTACTGTCATGTTATTTGTAAAGTTGTACAGAATACTGATCGTTCTATCACAGGCGACCAGTACTACCTTTATCAGTTTACACGACCACACATGTATTTAGTAAACTGATATATTTACCTTCGTACATCTTATTATTTTCTATTATATATTATACACCGTATTTTATTAGATAGGAATACTATATCTAATAAGATTGTTTTCTGTTCCTAATACAAATGTATTGCCACCAATGTAAAAGTAGGGTTGGACCATCTTCGACATGAGCTGTTTCAGACGCTCATAGTGACGTACAGATTGAATCTAATTCGATTGAAATTTCGCTATGGAAAAGGGGACAGATAACGTTACCCTCTTTGTGAACGTGTCACGCATTGAAAAGTATCTTTGTTATTCGGTTAAGCACACAGTGACGTATTTCTGTTGCTATCAGTACCATACCCATAACCACTCGAAATTCGGCCCTGTCACATACGATCGAACGGCCGTCGAAACCTATACTGATTCAGTGGCCCAAATGCCATGGGACTAGACCAGCACACGGGAGTACACCGGCAGCAAAGCAGTTCACGATGACTCGATAGTGGACTATTGGGTTACTGCGATCATTTATGATCTATGTAGAAAATATGCTGATTATGAGATACCCTATACTTATACAAAAAAACTATTCTGGATATACTATCCATCATTTCACTGCAGACATCTTATTACTATATTATATCCATTCGAATCAGTGTCCATTGTGTGCAACATATTATTATATATATATATATATGAGAGATATATATGGTTACCGTATGAGATCATAGTATGAGAAAGAGGTAAATCACATGTTATAACTGACCATATAAGCTCTCTCTACAGCATGTGCTTTCGGCATGAATTATACTTCAAAATTGTCCTGTCATTGTACCGTTTTTTAAGTGAGATTGTTCACCAATACACGAATTAACAGAAAAATCTACAAATTAACCGTTTATATATTGGTCGTAGCAGGACGCTAAATGCATCTGTTTACTAAAGACGAATAGATTTTTTGAAGCTGATGATTTCCCCGATAAAGGATAACACCGAGAAAGCAATTTTTTATTTATAGAGAAAAATATTTATTGAGATGTAGACAAATACGCTCGTACCCATTGACCTTAAGGCCGGCTGCCATTGTACTTGCAGTTATTGCACATGACGGATAAATGAAACGCACGGTGCTGCTAGGCCTATAGGGATGAAAATATGATAAGAAATGTACGCTCTTTATTGCTTACGTAACTTTGACAAAGTTATGTTGATTCTGTTGAAGATCTGCCCGATATTCGACGAGTGTATATTGTTAGGTACGCTCCAGCAAGCTGATGTGTCAGCTATCTGTGATTGATCATCTGCCCGTTCTATTTTAGTATATCTTATATAGTTGAGCTGATAACAGAGCATTGTACATACATTTTATATAAATATATTTTATTTAAAATATATTTATACAAATATATTTTATATAAAGCGAAAAGTATGCGAATCAAAGTAAACGTATCGATAACTACACCCTTGTTTTCATTCAAATATTTGACCTAGATTAATGAGCCTTCCTGTAGTAATCCAGGATGAGTATTGGCGGCCTAACGCTTGAAGTTAAACCTGCGCTAGAACCGCGCTGCGCTCCTCAGCATTAGAATTTCCGCAATGTAGTAGCGAACGAAACGCTTTATCCTAAAAATGTAGTTGTTGGACAGTAGGAAAAAGAATTTCTAACTAATTGGCTCTACACAGCTTTGAACCTGCTATCGTTAGTATACAAACGGCAAACCTTTGCTCTCAAGCTAATTCTAACTTCCCAGAGCGCGCAGAGGTAATGGAGATTCGATTTGGTTGTATAACCAAATCGAATCTCCAAAGCAAACGCTGAGCCATACGTCTAACTACCCGATAAGAAATCAGTAATGCATGAGGTAATATTTATTATCAAATTGAATGTTATTAGTAAAATAACTAAACTTGCACAACATACATGTGTGACATGTTACGATATTGTAACAGGTGTGCTTAATGACGCACAACATAGATGTGTGACATGTTACGATATTGTAACAGGTGTGCTTAATGACAGCTCTAGTCGACTAAAATCATTTACAAACACACCTTTCGCATGAAAAGTAGCTAACCATAAATGGAAGTCATACATACATACAAGGCATTTCCATCTATGGTCAAGGCTGTCGCCTCTCGCGTTCAATGTGACCGCTGCTTTGTTTAGCTGTTTTTCTGCGGAATCTTCATGCATACCTGTCAAAAGTCCAATCAATAATGCTAATTAGTTTAGTTCGATATATCAATGTATAGATGATGGTTCTGGTAATTTTTGTATATGATACAGTGCGGCTGAATTGAATTGGAAGTATTGACGTTGAAACCTATCAGCCGTGTGCGAGCACCATACATAGTCTCAACAGTTTTTGCATAACGTACCGTTTTCACCTCAGTGTACGCCTGTAGGCCATACTCCCCAAGCTCACGACCAAGACCAGACATTTTATATCCGCCAAAGGGCGCCTGTGCCGCCAGAGCGTCGTAGCAGTTTACCTGTAAGATTATTACATCCTAATTTGCCAGAAATTTGTTTCTCGCCCTGTATTAGCACCTGCGCGATGCGCTGTTTGCCGTTGTCGAATTTCACCTTCCTTTTAGATCATCGATCTTGTAACATTATAATTTCGTTGTCACGGCCACGTATGTCTACGAAACTTTGCACTTTCTCGATAATTCACTACTGCATAATAGACAGTGGTGCCTTGACATCGGAACGAGTGCTGGACACGTTTCTTACCCAAACGGTTCCAGCCTGAAGGGCATTGCTCATGTGTATTGCGCGGTCGAGATCCTTCGTGAAGATTGCCGCAGCGAGTCCGTACTTGGAGTTATTGGCACGATCAATCAACTCATCGATATTTCTAAAGCGTAAGATCTGCATAACAGGGCCAAAAATCTCCTCGCGAGCAATGCGCATGTTGTCCTGAACATCAGCGAATACCTGCAATGTAAAATCCAATATGGGAACACGACGCTCCGGTTCTTAAATGTTTTTTTTCTCATTTATGCATATAAAATTGACATAATTTCATATTATATAGATTTCCATTTTAATAATGATTAGAGATCTTTACCGTCGGTTCGACGAAGTATCCTTTATCACCGGCACGTGATCCGCCGGTTAGCAGCTTGGCACCGTCCTTTTTGCCAGAGTCAATTAGGTCGAGAATTTTTTTCATGTGTTTGTTGTCAACCTACCAAAACCACAGGTTACAAGTATCGGATACAATTAACTTAATATAGGTTTTTAAAAAACGTCTTTCGACATAGATATCGCATATACAGCAAGGGGTATTTGCGATCGTTACTATTACGAATGGATACGAAACGATTAGTAGTTACACTGAGGTAGTTGTTTAAATAGTACAGAAACCTGGTTACCGACCTGAGGTCCTTGCTTCGTGTTTGAGTTAAACGGATCTCCAATAGTGCGCTGTTTTGCCAAATCTACGCTGCGCTCCACAAATTGATCGTAGATCTTATCCTAAGCGTCACCAGACAAATCACAAGTTGCTAACCTTAAGTGTGATTGAAGCTACTAGCAGAGCGTGTCACGGTTGTATCCTATTAATAACCCTAAAGGCTTTTTTGAGGTTCCAAACCATTGCCTTCTATACCATATTGTAACTAAAACGAAATCCAGGATATTAGAAATACCGAAAGCGACAGCCGAAGCAATGTAAAATCACAAATCACAATAATTACCTCAACAAAGATGCGACTCCCAGCGCAACAGCACTGGCCCTGGTTGAAAAACAGGCCGAAATGCGAAGTCTCGATCGCGTGGTCAATATCAGCATCAGCGAAGACCACATTCGGGCTCTTTCCGCCCAGTTCAAGGGTAACTCGTTTCAGGTTGGATGATCCGGCTGCCTGCATAATTAGCTTTCCCACTTCCGTAGAACCTATAAGAATTGGTGTAATCGCACTGATATTTGCAATGCTACATATGTGTACCTGGAATAGCTTAACCAGATCAGATCTGCTTACTCACTAAACTGATTTAATATTTCAAATAGACAAAACGCTTTGCCAGTTATAACCGAAGCCGGTTGTCAAAGGGTTCGGGTTCAGAAATTATTTTGTGTACAGTTTCATCACATGCATTGCCTCACGGACACCTGTGCCTGAACTAACTAAAGGATGCCTTAGTGGCGTCTTATAACTAGATAACGCAAGTAGCAAACTTGCTACTATTGCGTATATAATATATATATATATATATATATATATATAGGTTAGGTTACGTTTATACATAAACGTTATATATATAACATAACCTAACCTTAAAAAGCTTGAAAAACTTATTACCGGTGAATGCTACTTTATCAGCATCAGGATGTACTGCGATCGCCCTTCCTGCAGTCTCACCATATCCGGGCAGGAGGTTCACAACACCAGGTGGAAAACCTGCTTCTTTTACAAGTTGAGCAACGTACAGGGACGTCAAGGGTGTCTGTTCGGCGGGTTTCATGACGACTGTGTTACCTGTGGCCAGTGCCGGACCGAGTTTCCAAGCCTGCATGAGCAAGGGAAAGTTCCACGGGATAATCTGGCCACAGACCCCCACGGGCTCGTGTTTTGTAAATGCGAAGTATTCGCCATCTATGGGCAATACCTTGCCGTGGTTTTTATCAGCATATCCGGCATAATACCGTAGACACCTATTAGCGCATAACATAGTGTGGCCATTACATTTGAGAACAAACAGTACAGCGTTACCCAACGAGAAGTATTTTTACCAAAAAATCAGTGAACAAGCTAGATATTGTTTAATATTTGTTTATAATAATAGATGTTTAATATTTCCGTCTTCGTTATAATATGCATTTATATTTTACAAACAATTTAACAACTCATAGGATGAGTAGGAATTAAACTGTACTTGATTGAAAGTTCGAGATCAATATTGTAGGCATCACTGAATGGCTTGCCGTTGTCCAAGGTTTCCAGCGACGCTAGATAAAGGCGGTCCCTCTCCATGAGATCGGCTAGACGGTAAAGTAAGTGCCCACGCTGTGAAGCATCCATACTTCGCCATTCAGAACCGAGCCTGCGCAAACGGGATATATAAGAATCATAATTTTAATAATCCTAGTACTAATACTGGCTGATCTTTTTTTTTTTAATTTTCTTTTTTATTTATTTCTTTTTTTTCTTTATTTTCTTTTTACTTTCTTTTATTTTCTTTTTTTTTTTATTTTCTTTTTATTTCTTTTTTTTCTTTATTTTCTTTTTACTTTCTTTTTTTTCTTTATTTTCTTGTTTTATTTTTTGTTTTTTCTTCTTGTTACTATTATTTTATTACAATTAAACTAAAGTGCCTCTAAGTGGCTAGAAATTTTTTTCACTAGTAAAATTTATATCTGAGGTTACTCCTGTCATCAAGCTTATTATTAAACTTCCCTAAGTACATGGTAAGTGCAATCTACTTTCGGCTTGAAGCTGATTATTAAGTTTCGTAATGAACATGTATTCTGCACACCTGAAGGCGTCCCGAGCTGCCTGAATTGCTCGATCGACATCTTTTGCATCGGCTTCTGAGACTTCGGTGATAGCCTGCCCTGTAGTGGGATTTTCAGTAATAAACGTCTTTCCTTGGGTACTGTTTACCCACTCGTTGTTGATAAATAACTAGACAGTATAATTGAAACAGCAGAGTCTGCGTTAAAAGATGTGACTTAGAGGGACCAATATATAACTTAGCATGAAACCCTTAAGAAAGAAGGAAACAAGATCCTACGAGGCGTAGCGGTTTATAAGTATAAGACTTATATCGTCCTTATCCTACCTGTCTAATTACTGTACCTATTCGTGTGCTATATGCAGGACACTGCGAAATTAATTGGCCTCATACCATCGATATCCTACTTATGCTGTACCTAAGCCTATCTAAACAGAGTTAACGAACGATCGACAGAATCCTGTGTATACACTCATGTTAAGACACTTACATAAACTAATAAATATTCTCTATACATCACTTCTATCTCTAAAATAATTGTGTTTGTTTCAATTCTGTTAGAGGCAAATACAACGAAAACTACGTTATGTTAAGTAAAAGAAAAAAGTATCAGCAATTTCTTGAATCTTTTTTGCGCCCTTGACAGGCAAACATCAATCCTAATCTGTCGTACGCCCGAATACCGATGTCGCTGACGCCCGTATATTTAATGCACAAGATACTCGCTCTGCAATTGTTAACGTACGAGTAGCAGACTAAGTTTTCGGCCATAGATGTTCTACAATGTAATACGAAAGGTAACAGCGTTCTCTGAAATCAAGCTCCTTCAAAAGTTTGCAGTTCTCTGAAGGGTAATATAGTCAGGGTAGTGTCGAAACAACTTCTTTGTACGGAAAAAAACTTTTCCGTAAAAATTTCATAGAAAAGTACACATTAAAATCTTCTGCAACGTTGGTCAATCAGCACACTTACGATACCCGAGTAGCTAATGATAAAACCGATAGTAAGCAAGCTATCTAAGCATTGAGTGAGGCATGGCTATTTACGAATTGTCAGCTCATAGTAAATACGAAGGCCCAAACGAAGTACACAGTTCAAGTGCAGAACAAACAAATGTTACCCACTTCGGAAAGCCCACAGCACGGCATACGTATTTTACTCGTTCCCGCAATACTGCAATGCTTTTGCGTACTAAACTTATGCACACGTGAGGCGGTCTAAGCTCAAAATCGGTACTCAACACAGGAAACGCCAGCTAGTGTTAAATCTCAAGCATTTGTTTTATCTATTTAGTCATTTAAAAAACAGATTACAGTAGGGGAATTACATCGATAAAGGCATCGAGGAAAAAAAGTTGTTCAGAAAATATTTACTGTAATAGACATTAGAAAAACAAGCATTACCCAGATGACCCATGCAAGACACACGGATCCATGAAAAATACTTCAGTTTGGGTATCAACGTTGTGTTAGTTACTTTCTCCATTAACACTATATTATATAGTGTTAATGGAGAAAGTAACTAACACTAATAAACTTTTTCCACCAACACAATATAATGAAGAAAGAAACTTTCACAACACTATGATGCAAAGCAAAAAGTTTTTTTTTTTTTTGTTATGGAAGGCTAAAATAAAACATACGTAATTTTCAACTGGAAGACGTTATTCCTAATCGGTGGGCTGAAACAGCATCTCACTAATTAATAGATATCTTCCGTGACACTAATTTTGGACACCTGTTTATGTAAACCTAGACGCAATACTCTGCTCCGAGAAACCAAATGAGAGACATTACATACCGCAACACGGATGGCCTTCGTTTCAAAGAGTCAGACTCAAGCTTCAATCAACAACGTGCTTTTGGGATCCACAAGTGGGATTGACAGATGGGTTTTTGTTTAGTTTCAAGGTACAAATGTTGTATTACATCACAACATGTTTAAGATGTAAGAGTGGTATTCTGCTCTGATCGGTAGCAATGATATTGACAGGGCATTTTTGTGTAAGCAGAAAAGTAAACAAAAAGATCTAGAATATCATTTCGGTCTGAAGTTACGTTTGGCCTTTTTTAGCAACGATTCAGAACGTGTTCACTTGATGTTACCCTTACTAGTTCGTGTTGCAAGAATATCTCGAGAATTACACGGCTTTCTGTAATTAAATATTGGGACTTCCTATTAGGAATTATCTTTAACTGGACGCAGTACAACAACTGATTTTTTTCGCCTGACCACACGCATACGTGCAATATGTACACCTAATACATTATATCAAATATCGCCAATGAGCAAACATCTCACCTACCTGTGTGTACTTCACTTCGGGAGTCCTCACAGGCTGCACCATGGGCTGCGTTCCATAGTGCCGCGCATATGTAGCGAATCTGGCCCCAAATCGAAGCATCGTTATAGCTTTCGTTGTTTCGTATTTTTCACTGACAGACAAAATCACCAATCTTCCACCCCGAACACCAGTCAGTCCCGAACTACCCTAAAGCGCGTACTGACACTAGAGAAGCTGATCAGTTACTGTTCACCTATATGCGTCAACAGGCCTCCAACTGCGACTCGCGAGCGTTCCTGCACATGCGTACCGATATAGATACACGCATCAATGGCATTTCATCGTCACTTTAAAGATGAATATCACGCCGCTTCCTACCCTATTGCCTGGTTAACGATTGTATCCCGATGCTTCACTGACTGCACCGCTTGCAGGTGACGCCGTCCCGCTAGCTAATGTCCGTGTCAAACGAACCGTCAGCTATTCTTATACGACTGTTATCGTCTGCTTTCGTTCTTTCCCTCTCTTAACTAGCTCTTCGGCGGCGCAATGCCGAGGGCGCTACCATCGCCAGTTTCCACTCAACTATCCAACGGTGGTTCATGTTATCGTAATGCTATCATGCTAGCCATGTAAAGTACTATCTAACGGCTGAAATACTTTAAACATCGATGGAACACTGGCTAATTGTTAAATTGACCATCTTGATTTAGAGCTAGAGTTATACACATGTTTCATCCTACAATTAACAAGCTAATAAAGAAAAGTTCCTCAAAGTCAAAGCTAGCGTTTGCGATTGCGAATATGCGTCTCGGCTAGTCAAAGTTAATGGCAATAATGTTCATCCAAGGCAAAAATTATCGTGCTGGTAACAAGAGCCAGAGAAACGCCTGTGAAAATTAGATAGCCTAAAAGTGATTTCAGGTGTTGAGATTTGCCGAATGGCGGTTAGAAAGTGAAGGTTCAAAAAAGTTGATAGGGTCAATGAAATTGTGCTGGAAGATAAGAGGTAATTGGAAGTGGTTTACATTGAAGCCGGCTGGCTATGGTTAGGTGTGGGATAATTTGCGTCATAGCTTATTGGGCACACACACGGACATAGGCAGACTTCGTGTCGTACTGGGAGACAGCCGTCTGTCCGATAGAACGGCTAACCGACGATACTGGATGTGAAAAATTTGAAACATAGAGCTATGAGATAATCTGAGTACGATTTCGCGTACCTAACAAAGGTCAGTGATTCTGGTAGTACTATGACATGGGCTGATTTCACAGTGAGTGTTTCGGGAGGGACAAAAGTACAATATAGTAGCCCGAGATCCTACAGAAACCAATATTTCGGTGTCTAATAAATTTACCTACACCTAAAACTACAAAAGAATAATTCAATCTGGCTCGCTTCTTTCCTATTGTTACTGGAAGCTACAATAAATAGCACACAGAAGTGGAACCAATTAATATTCTAGACATTTTTCTGTCTCTCTCTATATCTAATAGATGTAGAGATATATCAATCTCTATACCGATAGAAAGACGTTTAGTAGTTATCTTCTAGACCTCATACCAGCTACCTGAGACTTTGGTGGCTATCCCTAGTTTGGTGGCTAGTAATCCTTTCATTTAAGGTCATTCTACACAGTCTGAGCCTGCGTACGTGTCTTCGCGGTGCGCACTCATGTAATAATTACTCGCTTTTCATCCGATAAGAAAAAAATAACAAAATATTGACTGTATGTTACTATTCGTCGGTGTGGAAGTTTGTAAACGATGAGCTGTTTAGTGACAGATTAAAACACTGGTGTTTAGTCCTGCGAAAAATTGGTCGTCCACAGTGAGCCGAGTTGAACGTTGGCACGCGCGTGCTCATTACCGTCATGTGCTTAAGGCTGTGTCTTGACCGTCAAGATGTGTCCCTGCCTCGAAATACTAGGCTGGTGGCTGTAGACAATGCAATATTCTTTTCTCGGCTAGCGGTGGAGCCAATACTCTTTGCGTTCACTCGACTAACGATATGAGAGTGACTTTTTTCGTGTAGCTCTGCCTCTAGGTACGCTGGACGGTGAAGCGACTGAGGGGCTGCGCGAGCGGCTATCGACTGACGCTCAGCACTCTCTGGATAGCTGACAGAATACCTCTGCGGATATTACTGCTACGTCATAGTATGCCTATATAGAATATGATTTTTCTTACTTTTCTTCACTTCTAATCATGCACCTCGCATTTTCAAGGCGTTTCCTGCACGGTACAGACGCCCACTTCAATAAGAGGGCAGAACAAGGTCATGCTTGAAGTCGATATAGGACTGGCTTCAAATTTCCAGCATAACCTGGGCCAACCCAGATCGTTATAATCGTGGTTGATGGTGTGTAACATATTGGTGAACACATTGATTTGAGTGAACGGTTGTAGAAATTACACCATCATCATGATAATTCACCGTCTTACACGCCGGTAATTGTATCGCGTTTTTTTTTTGCATAAAAAAATCTATTCGTACCAATTTCACTGTACTCACGGAAGCTAACGTTGCATAGTTTTTGCTCCTTTCAAAGCCCAAAACACGCCTAGGAAGATGAAGACTTACGGCCACGGAAAAAACGCAAGACATTTAGATCATTTTCTATGATTTAATTCGAAAATTATTTTTTCAATAACTTCAGTAATAAGTAAATGTCGATTCAGGAATTCGACGGGGATTACTCCAAAGGAAACCATTAAGGATTGTACAGTTAGTATGAGGCTAAATTAATGGTACCTTTTTGAAACAGTTGTGTAGACGAGCGCATATTTTAATTGATCTGCATAATACTGAACCTTCATTTAGTTTAGTAAGAAAACTTTTCATCGGCTCCCTTAGCGAATGACAGCAGCGCTTCTTTTCAAAGTCCGTTGACTCCTGCTTGGAGCTAACCATCCAGAAAATCACAACAGGGAAAGACGAACGTTCCTCTTACTTTCCGTTTTTTTTTTTCGAAAAATCTGGAATTTGCAATCCGTGCTACCTCACAGATGAGTAGGCCAGTACTACTCATAGTAGACTATACAAGTAAAATATTCCTAGTCGTGTATAGGCCTGAGCAGTAACTACAAGTCTGACTACAATAGATTTCTAATTATATGATATTTTCTTTACTGGCTGCATATGTATGTGTATATATATTTACTTATTTATTAATGCACTTCTAGCTCTGGAGGTAGATATAGTCTGACTCTATGACGTTGCAATAGATTCACTTTCTATACCTATCTAGCGGCTTAATTTAAACTTACAATATTGTATGTAAAAAACCTTGCGCAGAAAGCTGAAGTTGTACATAATAATAGTGAGCGATGAATATTCTTCACATTCGACTTAGTAATACTAAATGTTTTCATATGCCTTTTAATACAAATTGCATCTTTTGAAGGGTAAACATTGCAGTGGACAAGTACACGTCGTTTTTTAACTGCTTTTTGGAGTCGTTAGCTAGCCATAGTACTGAAGGACCATTATATATCAGATCTATGCACTATCGTTGACGAAATATAACCATTGATTACTGTAGAGTATCAGAGCTCGAACTGATCGACGAGGAACAAATTAACCGCTAGCTCACTATCCTTCTCCGCGTAATGAAAACTTTACCCGAAATCAACACCACGAAGGGTTTGTATGTGTTGCCAATATTTATTTCACCACATCCATATACGTATATATATATATATATGTATATATATACGTATATATATATATGTTGGATTTAAGAGTTTCCTATACAGTCTTCTAGGATAAGGTGATCTCTTTTAACGTACTACAATGGCTGCATATGTATGTGTATATATATTTATTTATTATGTCATATGAGTATATTTATATACTTTTATTATAATTGTTAGTAATATCGTAATTATTGTATTGTGATCTAGTCAGTTGTTACGTTCATTTTTTTTAATTCTTTGAACAAATACACGTGACTCACTTGGAACCATGTCAGTGTTGGTGTATATTTGTTTTTTTTTCTTTTTTTTTTTTTCTAATTTAGTCGAGTTTAGTGGAGCTGCATCGCTATAGTTCAGGTGAACGCATTCCTTTTTACGTCTCCCTTTGGTAGCACTTATATATATAGTTATGTTTTTGTTTTTATTTTATGCGTCTGTAATGTTCCTGTCATTTCTGATAGAAAGGATCATTCCTAAAACTGACAAAGTTGGATTATACAATGACACAGCATCAAGGTGAATCGTAACTTATTACATATTTTTGCAAATATTTACAGTTTAAATGTTAAGTTAAATCTGTCGAACCTGCAACAGAATCACAAAGGATTTCATTTGAACTTAACGCTTTTTCACAGGTTATCTTAATGCCCGTATACAATTGTCATAATTCGCTCAAAACTATGGTCCGCTTCCATTGTTTTGATACGTCGGGCAAGAAATCTATCCATCAACATAACGGTTCGATTGTTCGGAGTTCATCTGAGATCAATACGCACAAGTATATAACATGTTACCCCTTTACCTTTGTATTCACTATTTGCTACTCCGATAGTTCAAGATACCGACTTCATCGATTTCTGCTTTGTTTGTACGTTTCATATGATCAGTACATAATAATCACAATAGAATCAGTTGTTTGTTTCTGTGTTCGAGATAAACGACTTTTCTAAGTATTTGCTATCAAAGTGTTATAAAAGAAGATAAGGGTTTATCTAGGTTTTGAAGTCCTCTCGAAAAATATCCTTAGCGACCTAGAGAGGAGCGAAACCTCACAAAGTCGGTGAAGGCAGAATTCCGAATGGAGACTTGAAACGGAATATAAGTTAAACATCTTAAATAGGCTTTATTAAGAGTTAGACTCGCGCCATTAAATTATCATAGTCGTACCAAAATACATTATTTCGATCAGTTGATATTTTTGACATTCGGTTGTTAAAGGAAAAAATACGGGAATTGTTCCTCCAGTCCACCGGCTATCCAGCACGGTGCTCAAATCAGCCACGTTTTTTTTCTTCTTCTTTTTTTTTATTGGAATACAACTATAATTGATTTAAGGGTTTTAAATATTTGGTTTAATGCTGTTTCTGCCTCTACTGTAACTGGTTTCCATTCAGCTGCACGTAGATGGTGCTCTAAAATGTACGCATGAGATGCAAAAAAAAATAGTGCCTGTCGTAGTACGACATTGTGAATAGACCTTTCAGCACGAGTTGGTCAACACGAGACCAGTTTGCCCTCGAATGGCCACGTCTCATGGCGGATTTTATTATGAGAATAATGTGTCGATAAGGCAATCCATATGTCCAGCGACGTTTGAATTGCCCACAGCGCCAGAATATGGCAGCCTCTCATCTTGAGTTCATTACGCCAGCTAGACCGTACGCCATTGATTTACTAACGAACTGTGCTTTGCTTCATGGCTTATTGCATTACCGTTTTCTACCGAAGGGAAAAACTGGCGGAACGGAAGTGCTCGCGTGAATACTTCATCAAAAAGACGCCTCTCAACAGTTTGAACTCCTTTAATAGAGGTATCTGCTTGTGACGACGTAAATCAATCCGACCAAGTTCTGCTTCAAAGCGCGGCAAAATGAAACAGCCGATACAAGCGCATTGCCCATATCGAGACGTTACAGCTATTGTAGCGTAACAATGCTCATCGATAGGCAAAGAAGCAATGAGATCAAGCTTTGTTCTCCCGTTTAAGCTTGGCCTTGCTTGCAAAAAAATCAGTCCGATTACTTCTTTCTGTAATAATGTATCGATCTTCGATCAACACCTTTCGACCACTGTTGGTCAACCATAAAATTGGCACGCTTCCACGGACGAAAAAATCGTTCCGCCTCCCGTCAGCCGGTTGTAAATAGCCTGGCTACGGAAAAGCCACGACTGAACACCAATGAAAGCAAAAAAATAAAATGCACAACAGGTTTTTCTTTGACTGTTCTGCTTTTGTACACGAGGTGTAGCAAGCAATGTGCCTTCGTGAATCGTAGTGATAATGCTAATTAATTAAAGATCAATAGCGCTAGTAGCTATACCAGCAGCAGCAGCGCCATTCAAGTACACACATCCACAAATTACATATATATACCTGATTCGTCGTATAAGATACAACGTAAATATATGGATTATATAATGCATAATAACAATAATAGTTTTGCTTTTTTTTTTTTGTCATATATGTATACATGATCCTTTCTGAAATGGCCACAAGGCTAACTCAAATCGTTAAACTGAAAACCTGTATGCTACAGTGTTCTCTATTACGGTACCCTAAATAGTGGCTGGTACTTTGCAACAATAACATGAACGCTGGTCATTTTGTCACTACAGTGCAGGACAACCAATATGGTACTTGTTGTCGGTTGCTCTGTTTGCTCACACAGCCGGAAAATAAACCCATTACCTGTGTATTACTATTGATGCACAGAAAATATTTCGACCAGAACCAACCTTTTTATTAGTGGCAGTATAGATTCGACGCAGCGAGAAACCCCTGGGTGTGTTAATACAGTCACGTTTTTTCGATCTCGGTAGCCAACCGCAAGGTATCTCTTACAGCAATGGAGTATATCTATATTACCAATTGCTTGCGTCTGCTCGATCGTCTGCCTGGCCGTTTCTGCATTGATTCGAGAGCGTTACGTGAATCGAGAAGACGTTGTGTAAGTGGCCGAGTACGTCATTTCAGCTACTTGTTGTTAGCTGACTCTAGCGTTTAGTGACTGTGTGACAAATACGGCTTAGTATAAGCCTGATAATACCTATAATATTGCCATTGATTCCGGATAGTGTCTGTTGCTGGAGGACGCTTACAAATTAGATATAGATGTTTATAGTCTTACGTACGACATCGCAGTGTGGTACTTCATGATACGATTGCCCACCACCACAAAACGAATAGCTTCGAACTTTTACCACCACATATTCATAAGGTTAGCAGGCAGACACATTACCCACTAAGGTCGCGGGGACCTACAGTTAGGGCCAAACGATCTTGGATGGCTGACATATCGTACGAGACGAGTATAAATATGATAACGACGCAAAATTGTCCATTCTGTTAGGCGTAAAGACGTTGGAAACCAGCCAACGAAATTCTATAGACAAATAACTATCTCAAGTCCATCCCTGGCAAGCATTCCCGTTCAGGCTTGTTGTCGGAGCGTTGCAAGATGGAATTGTTGAATAAGAGTCAACAACGACATTGATATATCAGTGTGTAACAGTAACAGGAAATAGTAAAACAGTTAGTTAACAATTGGATTTTTTCGAAGAATATCAGTCTTATTGGTTTTGGGGACTGAGTGAAAGACTCCAGTTCGGTCTTCCTGCCTTGGTTAGATACGGAATGGCATCAGTGTTAAGGAGGCCAGATACAGAGAGAAAAACCCACAAAAAAGGGACTTGTTCCTGCTATTCACATTGAGAAAATTGACGTTGATCGAATACGAGATGAAGCATCATTAAACTTAAACTTTGCCAGAAGATACGACGAGAACATCTTCATATGAACAATAACATACCTATATATATAATTAGTAATACGCAGTGTTGTAGAAGACATCGTCGGGCAACAGCGGTGTCTTCTACAACACTGCCTATTACTAATTATAATCATTAATGGAACTTGCAGTCATTAAATCTTTTACATCACAATATTCGATTGGTAGATAATTTCCCGAGTCCAGTAGATTCGTACATATGTATCTTCTGTCTTTAGAAATATACCTGTTATTCGCGTTCATATACACCGTTGCTGCAAAAAGCTGAGAGCCAGCAGCGCCAGCAATTTCCAAGGCAAGCGTCATCAATGCTTTAAGATGCATTCTTTCCCTATTCAGCCTACCACACCCGTATATGATGTAGCAGGTCTGATTAGGTTTCGCCGCCTTCTTACACATGTAACGCACTATCTGAAAGTACTCGGACAGTATTACCCATTCTGCCGAATTTCACGGCTCAAGGAAGGCAATTGAGGCTGGATATTTCTTGCCATCCTCCCCGGCCATTATTAAATAGAGAAGTATATTGTACGAAGAGCTGTAGTTTGAAAATTGAGACGTTGACAGTCACCAAAGTGGCGCACACAACTTTCCTATTATCCAAATTATTGCCATTGAGGAACGTGTACACTCGAAGAAGAATTGGCCGGCTCATTTGAACAGAAAAGGCCTCGATGAGCTTGCAATACACGTTAAGGTTCGTCGCAAGCGCTGCTAGTATGAGTAGCCTTAAATAGGTTATCGCAGAAATGTAACAGAGTGTATTTTTGGTAGATATGGAATAGTGAGTGTTAGAAGATCCAGATACGCAGTATAACGTCGTCAAATATCTCTTAGGTGTGGCGTGTATAGAAGATGTGATCACTTTTTGTAGTTCAGGCTACTGGCTCCTTGATGTTCTAAGAGCGTCTGGTCATATTTTGGAAAACGAATTCCCCTCTGAATTACCATATCGTCTACGGTACATATACTTTTATAGGCTCGTACGTGCTTTGCTTAAGGGAGATGCTATTTTTAACAATTCATTTAGCGTATCGAGTATTACCTCCTCAAGTGTGCATTTATCAGAGCGCAATAATACTAATTAGTTCGTTCAGGCGCCGTATTAACTAATCCCTTTCTAGTTTTGTTTCAGAGATTTGTCAACGGTGGTTTCCTTCAATGGGTCTCACCTTCTACCTTTCTAAAAGAAGGGACTTTAGAGATAACCTTCGTCATCTTTATGTGCGCAGTGCTACCGTTTGGAAAATAATATAGTTTGAGTGTCTTTACTTCAGTGCGACTTTGTCTCATGCTGTTACGCCATCACATTCACGAACAGAGTGACTCGATAGGATAATTAATTACTATAATTATAATTATTACTTAGCTCTACTCGATCCAATACATTCGTGCTAGTATATAATCGTTCTACAACAACCTGTGACAGCTCATTCGTAGAGATCCCCTTGGTTAGTGGGACACTCTTATTAAGGCAGCGTGATACATATTTACGTTTCTATATGAGAGAATCCTGTGAGGATGCAAGAATCATGACAGCGGAGATGCTCGGATCATCACGCATAAAGTCTGTTGGCTATTCAGGCTATGATTTTGAGTTGAATTCTGCGAGATTTGTACAACAGCTGGATGAAATGGTGCCGAGAACATGAGCTCTGGCTCCGTGCGCTACATCGCATATACCCCATCCCTTTGTAGCGTATAGTTATTTCTAACGATCATCTACTGCGCATATCGGTAGTTTAGGTTTAAATCGAAGGCAAAATCTGCTATCGGCCGCTCGTAAGTCCCACTATAGATGTTTCTGCGTGTGAATGAAAATGGCTGACTTTGTCGGTCGCTGAATGTTTCGTTGATTGATGGAGGTTGGGGGTTAGCACAGTCCACCAACTCTACGCGTTAATTAAGCCTGATGACGACTGTTCGGCGATCATCTTACGATGACATTAGAATAAATGTATGTTTTTATTGAAAAAAAAGTTTTCACATTCCCTCATAATAGTATTGCCTCGACCACCATCTTCAATGATTTTTAACTTCTTCCCGCTAACTTCTTGCTAAGATCACGATACTAATATCATATTGCTGACTGTCTATTTACAATGTAAACACATGTTCAATTGGCCAATAGGCCTGTTCCTAAGTCCGATTTGGACACTATATTTAATAAATCTGTCACATATTTTGCCGTTGTTCGGCCCCGCACACAAGGAAACAACGACTTTTCAAGGGTATATTGTAGCTGGATTATACCGGCTTCAGCCACCTCAGCATCACATTCATGTTATATAATGCAAATATTATTTATGTGGGTGCCATCTACAACTTCTTATCGTAAACTTGATAGTATACGATTATGCATCTGATATCATTTGCGGCATTAGGCTTTTCGCTAGGAAAAATGTCCACATCCAGTTCCGAACTGCAGCTTTCACTCGCCTACTGCAGCCTTCTGTAAAGGAAACAACAGTTCTAACGAAGCCGCCGCAAAATGATAGCAGTTAGTGTGGCGGCAATTTTGAACGCGTTTTCGTCACCTGAGTTAATATTCTAGCGGCCTTTTTGTCGATTGCCAGTGTCCTGTCGTCCGTATTCGCTACAAGATCGTGGCCATACATCAAGATGCAGATTCCTTTCCGCGCCCATGTTGTGCCTTGCTTGTATTGAAGTGTTCGTTCCTACTGCCAGAAAACCGGGTAGAAACTAGTAGTCGTTAAGGGCTACAGGCCGATCGTCCTGTAGGCAGAAAAGCCACCGTTCGAACGGTGTAACCTGCAAATAACGATAGGTGGATTTCAAAATGTAGCCGATTCACATTGTTCGGAATTAGTCAGATCGTGCGATGACCACAGGTAAATCACATCCGGAACAGAACGTTGTCATTGGCTCTTAGCACTGCCCGCAGTAATTACGTAAATATACAATAATAATATTTGGTTGCTTTAGCATCGACCATAGACGATTTTTGCTACCTATTGGTCGTCTTATTAGATGCTGGTGCCCGAACTAAATTAGTTGCTTACTTCATGTTCCGTGATTCCATAAAATTCCCGTAGTTCGTCTGCAGGGAACCAAGCTGGCTCTTCCGGCGGCAAAAGTGTCACGCCACCGGCACGTAAGATTGCTACCAGTGGAATCCAGACTGTCGAGACACCAATAAGGAAAATGATCAGGAGAATGCACCAACCTGGCCAGGATAGCGGGATAGGAATCGCCTAAAAAATTGATTAATTAAAAAAACGGGAAAATGTAAACACGAATGTATTGTACTACGCATAGCTATAATATACGACTCGACTGACTCTAGACGGGGAATTTCCGTACAAAAAAAAAACTAATGATACGGAGTTACATACATGTTTTTTCATAGTACCTTCGATAATCTAACATAATAATGGCTTTAAGAAATTCGCAGGATGAAGAGTTCAACCACTCGCTAGAAACGAAGAAGTTCGAAGATTGCAACTTCAATACACACCGCTACCGCGAAAACTACGACTTAGAATCAGCGTAAGTACGCAAGTATAGTCCAATAATCATGTGAAAAAAATCTCTTTTTTTTTTTTTTTTTTTTATTATTATTTATGTTTTAGACAAAATATTCGGTTTATTCAGCTGGAGCCAAAAACGAATAAGGAACATTTATAGTCAAGCACTCCATATGAAGCCTATATTTTAGAGTTAATTTCGTTCACTTCATCTTAAGAGGTATCCTATCTTTTCTTTAATATAATATAATGGTAATGTCCACCCTATGGATATACCCGTAAGGAACCTTTTCTTGTTTGCGATACCAAATGCGATCTGAGTATTTCAAAGTTCCGTCTATAAGAACGATGCCGAAGCAAGAGATAGTTCGGCTAGTGGCGTCTGCGCTTGTCATTTCCAGCCTTTGATAATCGGCAGATTGGTGAAACAACTTCACAAATAAACGTGCTGATTCCGAACGGAAAAAATTTGAGAGTATTTAATAACATCTAACCTACCTGTTCGCGGTCCCAACCTTCGTATTGTATGCCTCCGGTGAAGATTTTATAAAATGAAGCAGCAAGAATAGTGAGCATTGTTACTGGGGCAAGGAACTTCCAACAGACGTTGAAATAAAATCCGGGTCGTACGCCAGTCATTAATTCGATGTCGTCGTTAAATCTGCGAAGGTAAGGGCTGTATTAGATTCGAATTTATAATATATGCATTTTTTTTTATGAGTTACAGCTTTTTAGCCTGTAATTTTGCTTCATCGGTACCACGCAAGCGGATGTTTTAATATCAGTAATCTACGACAAACCCTAAGGATTTACCCTAAAGAAATACAACGTGTAACGAAGTCTTTCAACGGTTTATATGCGCGCTGCGCCAGTTATGGCGCCGCCATTTTGCATCGGTTCGTACCGTTTGAGCCCGTAGATCCATGCGATAGAAATTGTCTCACCCAACGCGATAATGAGCAACGGGAAACTGCCAGCGAAATTGTCGAATAATGTAAACGCGTAGTTGCCTGCCCCATGGGCGAATATCATGGAAAGAACGCACGAAAGTGCACAAATGCTTCCTAGAAAACAACGCAAGTAGGAACGTTTGTTTTTGATTGTCTGATTCACATTCGTTCTATACACACCTTGCTTAAACATAGATACAGGCATTGCACTAATATTAAATACATCTGATTAATAGTAGGCAGACGCGTAAATAAATACCTGTGAGTAATTCTTTGCGTAGGTTGGGAAATAGCTTGAGATCGACAATGGAGGTGACCACCCCCTCCAGGGTGCCAAACTGGCTATCGATGCCCAGTGTGAATAGCATCATGAAGAATAGCACCGACCAGAACGGTGCGCCTACGAGATAGCAGAACAGTTGTGATCAAATGAACATATAAATACTAGTACAATTTATTTACGGAAAATACTATAAAAGAAATACTAAATTAAATCGAATGCTGTCTTTCTTTGATTTGATGATCGCTGCCCATTTAAGTTGTATGAAATTGTTTAAAAACATTAAAAAAATATGTCGGTAAACGATTTTCGGAAAGTCACTCTAGGCTCCTTAAACGCCCATATAAGTTTTGTGGCAGGGAAATTGGACATTTTTAGCGATTGGTAGTCGAAAATAAACATGCCGTTAGCTTCGTGTTGCTGGTAGAAGCGAGCCGTTTGAAGCAGCACTCAATCAGTAAGGGATGTAAAATCGAAAACATTTATTCTTAGTTTTACAGGAACGCCTTAAGTGCGAGCTCTGCTCACCTGGGAACTGATTAATGGCTTCTGTAAAAGCAATGAAAGCCAGGCCTGGGCCAGAGGCACTCTGCTGTAGCTCCTCTTCCAAGTTACACTCATTCCAACCAACGGCTCCCTTTGGCGGATGCGTTATATTAGGAAATCGAAGCGCCCTGTTCGCTAGACAACGTTTATTTGTCATGTGCGCCTTGAAGCCTACGTATTAAAGGTCCTTTTTTTATTTAGGTTTTTTTTTAGCCTATTCTTACATGCATGTTGATGCAACAACAATAACGTTCTAATACAATAATGCAGTTATAAGAATAACTAACTGAAAAATTATTTCGGATTTTATCATCATCAGATTTTCAATTACGTCCGGACCCGAACAGGTAGCATTAAAGGCACTCAGTGCGGCATTAGTCACGCCGACCAGATCCTACTGCATTGCGTGTGAGCGTCAAGCGTTAAGTTTACGTAAGTAGCCTATGGCTTTGGATCTAATACGTGTACTTTAGAAGTAAACGGTCCGGTTATTATCAACTGTAGTTTATCGTTGACTGTAAAAGTTGGTCAATACGTACCGAGAATTGAAAACACCACAATCCCAGCGAACATCGACGTGGCGCAGTTACAGAAAGACACTACTACGGCATCCCTAGAATATGACGTATAGTGTAAAACTATCTGTTTAAATTCTATTGCTACCAAAACAGGTCAGTTCTTTAATACAATGAATTATTCCATGTAAAATTGCCGGCGTCACTTTTGGTGGCTCTAATTAGATTAAAAAGAATCCTTTATCTACGGGAAAAGCGCTGAACTAATGTTAGATACTGTTGAAGACTCAGAAGGCCTTTAGGAACTGAGAGGTTAAAAAACAGCTAAAATCAGATACCTGAAGCAGTTATTGTGAACGGGGTTGTAGGAGGAAAACGCGATTAGTCCACCGAACGCTAGGCCCAGCGAGAAGAAGATCTGGGTGCCCGCTTCAAGCCAGACCATTGGGTCGCCGAGTTTTGTCCACTACGATCGACAAAAGATGATTAATGCTAGATCTGCCCTTAATAGGACAATAACTTGTCGCAAGCAAAATCGGCAGGCAAACGACGAAATAGTACAAACGGCATAGGGTTATTCGTAGTAAAGATTTACTTGGTTTGCGACAGTAGAAGATGGAACATTGTACAGAAGATGCTGTGCCAACGTCTTTACGTGGCATTTTGTAACAACGGAAGAAGAAAACAAAGTTACTGTACAGAGACTTACATCCGGCTTGAAAAGGTGGATCAGCCCATCCGCCATTCCTTCAAGGGTGACTCCGCGGAAAAAGAAAATGATCAGTACGAAATAAGGGAAAGTCGCCGTAACGTACACCACCTAGAAAGACCACATTAACCATGTAAATATCAGCGTACAAGATGGCAAAGTGTAACTTGTATCTTCGTCTGAGAAACTTCGAATGTTATGATCTCAACCGCGTGTCGCTTTTTTCCCATCGCATGAAAATGAACCTTGAAGACATATGTTTGCCTAATCTTCTAAATCTCTCGCCCACTTACTTCAACCGATAAGGCTGAAAAGCTAAATCGCACTTTGTTAATGACTGCTTATCGAAACATGCCATCAGATATTTGTCGCGTATCAGTCATTCTTTAACTTTGTAGTTTGCCCTCTTGTGCGAGTAGCTTTTCATTGAAAAAAAAGCGAAGCCTATTCGAAGTTTTTTGGCTGACGCGCTACGACACCGTATCACCAGCGGCACATGCCTTTCCTGATGAGGCGATACCCTTTATCATGCACATGTAGCAGAGGATCCAGGCGGCGACAAGGCACAATGCGATTTTGTAATTGAAAGGAGCCGGAGACCCGATATCCGGTGAAATGTCGAGCGTCACCCGGTACCAGAAATACTGCGTCGGACTGCTTTTCTGCAAATGAAATTGTCAGACATCGTTAAAAAATGAAATCAGCGTTTGAACTTTCGCTATGCTAAGTTTATAAGCTACAACTCTCATAACCTGCTATCGCCACACCTACACTAATGTGACAAAATGCAGGCGCGCTTTTTTAAAAAAAGATGCTACGAAGCCTTAAGCTTAGCTTCAAATTTGGCTAATCAAATATACAAATGTTAAAACGACACCAAAGGCTATTGTAAAGCAATATATGAGCAGACAAGGATCAACTACGAGAAATCCTAGCAGCCTAAACAAAACCTATATTTACTTTAATTTACTTATATTATCAGTTTTATGCGCATATATGTGAAACTATTGATGGAACATTGATTTACAAATCATTAATTTACCTGGCACTCAGGTACGATTAGTGCAGTGTCATTTGCCGTAATGATGTGTGGGCATTCTGCCCAGGGCAACGGCGTGCTGAATGATTGCAGAAAATAGTATAGGCACCACGCAATAATGGTATTATAATAAAGTGCCACATTGAACGATACCACAGCCGAGGCCATACCTAAAACAATTGATCGTACAAAAAAGTAAAAACAGTTTGGGCTTTAACAAGTTTGAATAAGTTTGTTTGTTAAAATGACCGTTTGTAGTCTGTTTGAAGCCAAGGAACGGAAAAATCTAACGTCGTCCGACCTTTTCCGCTTAACTGCAACGAATAGTTTGCGATGATGATTCTAAATAGATAGAAATAAACTCACCGATTCCTCCACAAAATGGTGACACCAGGTTCCATACTCCAATAGCTCCTTTACGGAGTCTCTGGCCTACAGCGAGCTCCATATAGAAGATGGGTAGTCCCTCGATGGCCAGCATAATGAAATATGGAATTAAAAAGGCCCCTACATAGCAACGAAAAACAGAAGATAAGAAGCTGCATCACGTACTAGATGAAGCCATCTTATCCAATTCAACAAAAAGAGTTCACTGCTACTTTGAAATCTAACTAATAGCTCGACAAATTTTTAAAATGCACTTTTAGATTATATTTCAAGTTCGTGGTTTTACCTCCCCCGTTCTTTTGCGCTAGGTAAGGAAAACGCCAAACATTGCCAAGACCAACGGCATAACCAATTGTGGCGAGAATAAATTGCAGTTCGCTGTCCCACGACTCTCGCTCATCTTCAGCTCCTTCTGGACACGACGCCTATAAATGATTCAATTGTTATCCTTTTTGTCCTTTTGGCCCCTATCAACACCCATCCGTCCATATCGTGGACTTCCCTTAATAAAGTGGTAACTAATGGTTTTTCTCTAGAACGCTACTCTCGCGTTTATGTATAATTGTATAATACTTTCGACTACTACTTGGACCAACCTCGTTCAATACCTCGTTCGTGGAAACCATCATTGGTTTTATCAAAGCATTTCAGAGCTTCAATACAAATAGATATTTCGTTCACCTGTTTCAACTATTTTATACATTTGCTATGGAATTCGTGGTTTTACTATCTCACAAACGGCGATTGCCCTTCTATGCTATGAAGCTTTTTTGTTTATACCTTGAAAACTTGATGCCCCTTTTTGCCCTTTCCTGGAGCGGCGAGATTGCGTTCATCATCATCATTTTCCGCGTCTCTTTCGTCACGGCCGGTTATCGTAGCAACGTCAGCTTCAAATGCCTGATTTGTTGTCCCGTAGTTCTGTCCGAGGAGCCGAGGAGAAATTACAGCGGAAGCAAACAAGAAATTAGCATTAAACAATAGTAGGGGTGGTAAAAAACGACAATCATTGCAGACTTGTCGAAAAATAATAAAATGTTTTGTATTTTTTTATTCTTTAAGCCTAGCTTGATTGTTTCAAGGTATTGGGAACGGGGAAGAATACGAGCTTGTGTCGACGGAACGCGCAGGTAGCGCCTTCTAAAGCTGCTGTCGTTAACAGATATACTATTTAACAAAGACAAGCAATACCTTCGTTTGTATACCGTTAGCAATTAAAGTGTGTTGTTTGTGCCCTAGCTAGATGCAAGTATCTTCCCAGGAAGATTGCGGAGGTAATCTTCATTTTAATATCAAACATTGGGTGGCGCTTAGTATTGTAATACAAGTGACACGCACATTATGATTGCTGGCATCGGTTCCATCTGGCAGAAGCGGTCCTTGCATTTCTCGCAGTTCGACCTAGAATAGCCATATATTCATTTCTTAATGTACGGATCTAGCAGTTATGTAATCGCATCGCATCAACACTTAACTGAAGCTTGTCAAAGACTTTACCAACATAGTTTTCTCATTCAATATATATAAACTAAAAGATAAGAGAACAACAAATATATCCTAGAGGGCATCAAGTTTTTGTGAGATCCTCAAATGGTAAACGCTGTTCGTTTAATACAGAAACATCTATGGACTGGCTCCTCTTCTTCTTGCCCGCTTTTAAAAGAAACACATGTTTGATGACCTTAGAAAAACATTTTCTCTTGCATTTTTCCTATTTAATATGAAGGCGGACAAAACGAGACAAGGTATCAGCAGACCAAATTTAAGGATTTTTAACAATGTACGATACACTAATTGCATTGGGCGAACGGCAGCTGCTCCGTTGTCATTGCCACGTTGCCGCTAGCCCCGTAATACCTGTCTAAAACGGGACATGCATTAAGCGTGCGTGAGGTAGTGGCAAAGTGCAAAACAATAATAAAAAGGTCTATGACATAATTCCACTGTTAACATGGGCCGACTGTCCCTACGTTGGTCGTGCCCTAGTCAAGTTGCTATTTCCTCACGGGACCTCGCGCCAACGAGCAGAAAAAACGAGAGGTCAACGAGGAAACGTGAGCTTGCGAACAGATAAATGCATAGACAGCAAAGGAACAACCTACCGTACAAACGATTCGCATTTAGCCATGGGAAAAAAAGGTAAAGGATAGAAGTAAGAACTAGGTTGTCATATGCTTCTTCTTGCATCCAAACATCCAAACATCCAAACAGATTTAAGGCAGCGTATTCGCACTCGTTAAAAAGAATAAGAGCTTATCTATGGATCGATGCGTTCTTTTCATTTGAAAGCTTTCCGTACGGCTTAAAAACAAAAAATCGCTAACAATGAAATAGGGGCGATAAGCATGTGGTCTAAGCTTAGCGTCGGGTTTCGAGTGGCAGCGAAGGCATAGAAATGCGAGCATGATCTGTCTCTCTAGCTAGCATCGCAGTGGCGTTTCAGTTCGGTGCAAGGACTCTGTGCCCCAGACGATGTATGCTGCTTCTGCTGCTGTGTCCATACGTCCAAGTAGAGTTTCGGCCGAAACACAGGGATCAAAAAATAAGCCTCACTACCATGGTACCTACCTTTGGACCAACGGGCAGTTCCGCAACAGTATTTTGCTTCCTGAGAATATTCTGCATGGCGATGTGTTGTTTTTTCGAAGTGTTGAAATAACCGAGCCGAGAGTGTCTGTTGGGCTTTACTTGCTTCAGCGGCCTTCGTCTGTTGCCGGGACTTCGTTATACATGGTGCCTCCTATACGGGTATCTAGAATTATGAGGTCCTATTTGCACGACTTGATGCATATATCACTGGTTATGCGGTAATGTTTAGGTCTTCACCAGTGGCTAACGGTCTTTATAAGTTCGTTTGTTAAGTTTCCGACACAATATTTAGTTGAAGACGCGGTAATTGCTGTTAGCGTCGGCAGTCGAGGAGTTTCGAGATATTCTGTAATGACATAGTTGGAGATATCGTATTAGCCGTCAAACCTGTACAAGCTCTAAATTCCATTCAGTAGATAGTTGTGATAAATAAATTATCATAAATCTATGGTGAAACATCAACATAATCCGCGTAACTCAAAAGCGTTGTCTCCAGGTCGGTCCTGGAAACGGACAACACAAGACTCGATCCTGATAGCTTTTGAAACTATAGTATCAGCTACACTGAGCTATAAAATAAGGATAACTCACAGGAAATAACAGAGGACACTCATAAATAAACCGAATCAGCTGATTCTTAGATTATTGAGAGCAGAGTCCCCTTTAAACTAGTCGCAACGATTGTACGCCGACTCGCTGCTGTCCAACTCGTTGGACGTGGCCTAATGAACAGCATCCGTGAGACGTATAGAATGAGGCAGCGGCATTTGGACACTGATGAGGTAAGCTACTTTACTTTAATTAGACAACTTATCATATTTTATAGTAATCCTTTTTAGCCTAGGCGGTTGTCAAGGGACCTTTCTTGACCTCTTAGAATTTGATGTCCTCTTGTTTCATCGTACTGTCCTTACAAGTACCCACACAGTCGGCGAGTCATATCGTTTTGCTACCATCTAATCATCTTGAAAAAAGCAGCTATAATATATAGGAAATCATAATCCGCACATACTATTTTATACGTGGGTTTTTTTTACATTTCATGAAACGCAACGTGCATATTGTTAAGTGGAAAAGATACATTTCGTAAACACGTTTTCCTGCTTTTAAAAGTTCTACAAGCAGCGTACTTCCATAGGCATGGGTTTACAAAGCGCCACATAAATTTTCTGAATAGTGTCTATATATATACATATATATATATATATATATATATATATATAGTTTCTGTACCGATCAGACGCCCCGTATTTGTGAACTATGTTGTTTAACGTGCTGTGATAACCCATTGTCACTGCTGTTTCCAGAAATAAATTTCAACGAACCCCTTAGATATTAATAGGGTGATGTAAAGGTATGGCGATCTAGTAAAAACTGTCCTGCACGAAAGAGGTTACGGATTCTTTACCTGCACGTGAAGTTCCGTGCTCCCAGGCCGGTAGGCTCAACTGTTCTCAGCTGAGTTGTTTTACAGTCCTTTAAACACTTAGAAACCCTCGTTGCTGCTTTATTACCTACGGACAAGTACGGTATATACGAGTCCATATACCTCACAGCATCGGCTTGTATTATATGCCGTCGAATGCTGCGTGTAAATGGAACGACAACGGCCTCACAGAGGAAGCAGCATCGCTTATAAGATGTTGCCGGCTTTACTACCTACTTTCTTGATTTAATTAAAGCTGAATATTGAATACGCCTGCTGTTTGACGCAGCTTATATGCTGTGAGCATGGCTAGCAAGAAGGGATCAATGATGTAATGGCTCCGATATGCGGCATGTTCTACAAACGCTATGTAGCTCCAGATATTGTTAGGATTAATCATCAGAATTGATGATGGCACAAGCAATTAACTAAAACAGTTATAAAAAGATGTTTTTTAGCTTAGTCAATCCGCCTGGGGTCTCGTTAGTCATATTCATTATGTACGCTCAGCAATTTAAATCGAGACCGAATGATGCCCAGTTGATTAGTACACATCCTTCAGATAACGAAGGTAGCTCATATAGTCTTCACAAACAAACAAACAACAAAGGGTCAGCCACACGGTTCTGGCCCTTTTAGATACTATCATGGTACATGTCGGACGAAAAACTCATTGCCAATTTAACTATAACGGAGCCAAACAGAAACGTTCTTTAGAAAAACAAAACCACAGGTAGACACTGAGCGCTCCACACTTTAGTGTTACCTGGCGAGTCTCGACAGCAGCGCCGATTGACCAAAACGATACGTCACGGCTGTGTGGCTGTACTTTCTCTGCCTGCTTTTTCTGTGTTTGGTACAGTATAGACACCGTTACTATGGCTTGCGTTGTCGTAGCAGCTTCTGTTGCGCAATACAACGCCTAACAACGTACATACACCATCGATTTCTATATGGTATACTGATAGTATTTCTATTTTTGGACACTGCACTTTTATCCGTACTCATGCCCCAGCGTCAACCGATCATTGCGTCTGATTTCCTGCACTACACTTTTGCATCGGACGAAAATAGGAAAACATAGAAATATCGAGCCGTCGACGAGGAGAACCAACACAATTTCCGAAAAAGCTACGCTTTATCACTTCTCGCCGCTTTTGACTAATTGTATAGGAGTATGTGACATTACGATTTGCACATACCTATATATATATGAACCAGGTTCGTATACGTATATAGACGTGTCGTTTTTCCCCTATCTACCAATACCTTCGATTATCATTACCTACCACTTGCTTAGCTCTTTTTCAATCAACAACTTTAAACGGCTCACTTAACTACATTTCGTTATTACGTACTTTTTACGATTATGCACTTCATAAACAGGAATGTCTGTGCAAGTTTCCAAGTCGACGAGGTCACCACCGTTGTATCGTCTGTGTTAGAGGTACTAACGTCGTCTTAATTTCATGCATACTTCGATTCCATCCATTCGATGTATACAAAATAGATCGCCGAAATGACAGTATTAGTAGCGGCAAGCTACGTTCTATGAGGCCTGGCATCGACCAGGAACAATCTTCATTAACAGCGACAGTCTTCCTTACATCGTTGTCGTTTATTTTGCTTTTATCTTGAGCTTCTCACGTTTGCTTCACTGCAATAACTAGCCACTTCTTTGGCGCCTTCGTTATAGGAGTTACTAGTCGTAGCTCTAGCACTGTTCTATTGATGAGAAGAAGAAATAACAGTCTTTACTAGATAGTTTCCGAAGCAAATAAGCTTTAGGTCATAAACTGTCTGATGGGTTACACCTTTTTTCAACAACACTAGTAACAAACCACAGCAATAACTTCCTGCCGTTACTGTAACTATTATAACATTTTGCTTGTTTCCGCAGCCGCAGCTAGTGGATACCTCTGATTGATCTGACGCGCGTTAACGCGTAGCCGGATCTCGTTTGCTCACTGAAACTTTCTCTGCCCGCTGTTCATTCCACCCTCCATTGTGTGCAATTGTAACTGTTTTCCGCGTTGAGAGCGCCTTGGAGTTCCCGTTTCGTGCTGCCAGAGCTAGTCTAATCAAGCTACCGCCAGCGCGCACCTATCTTATTGTCGTATCAGGGAGTCGTGTGTCTATTTGGGTTGGAATCCGGCCGAATTCCGCTTTCACTTCAATGTTTTTGCCTTGTGAATCGTGGTTGCCGCTAACGGCGACGCGCTGCTGTCATTACGGCGTTCGCCACTGATGTCACCGCTGTTTCCTTTGCCATTGATGCTATTTCGATTAGCTATCAGGTGGCTTTTTCTCCGCTGTTATCCGTTAGAGTCCGTGTTGAATTCAGCCGTGCTAAGGCTCACGGTATTTGTAATCTCAAAGAAGTAGCCGCAGCCGTTGGAGGGAGACAGCAAAATCGGATCCTCGCCGTCGTCGTCAGTGACAGTGATGGTGATGGTGATAGCAGCGAATGAAGTGTACAGGGGCCATTTGGGCCACCATTGGAGTGTGTCCTGAAAGGTAGAAGGTAGAGGGCCAGAGTTGAACGCATTGAAGGGGAGAGAACTTTGTTGTGGTTTCGACCGCCCCCACAACGTCTCCTCTCGTTCGTCGAAGGTTTGGGGCAGGGTCAAAAGGGGACTTCATATTGCTAGTGCTACCGCCGCTGGAGGGCGAAAGGAGGGCAACGACCCCTCGACGAACGGGTATCTTATTTTGTCCCTCGCTTCGGGCAACAGCCCTCGACCAGCCCTAATCCATTACCGCAGTGCTCCATTCCCTTCAACACCAAGGTCCTCTGCACTAACTCATAATACAACCTGAGCTTGAGACAGATATAAGAGGCTTGGACGCCTCCTTCCTCAACGTTGAGCTCGTTTGCACTTACGTACTAGGACATCTCGCGCATTTCATCCCAAAGTGTTTACAGCTTGCTCGTTCACTTGCAGAACCGACGCATGCAACATACATATGTTGGCCTTAATGCCATCTGCATTGGTCGTTACCGCACAGGGTCGTCCTTGTCATCTATCTAGTCGAAGGCAAAATCATCGTCCTGCTTTATGAGACCTTGTCGCTAGCGCGGTATTAGGATCTCATAAAAGCTCACATGGACAAGCCATTACAAAAAGGAAGAGGGCACTCCGAGCGAATGGTAGCTAAACAATGGATGGTCTTTTCATAGAATGGAACAGTGGCAGCCGCTGCGAACCATTCCGTTGTTTTGCTGCCATACAAGAAAAAGGGAAGGAACGAGAACATCCCCTTGACGGCAAATGCTGGTCGTGGATTGAGAACAAGCGCTAGACGCTAAACGGCTAACAGCGAAAACGGAACTGCGGTTGAAAAAATCTATGAGAGTGTAACAAGTGAGGCGTGCAGGGGGCAAATATACGTATAGTATATATATATATATATATAAATCAATGGATCATTAAGCTTTTGATTCGCTTGACTTTCTATGGGAAAAAGAGGTAATATCAACTGCTTTTATTATTATTGTTTCTACTACACCCGCAGAGCCGTAAAAACCGTATAGGAGAAACTAAGTGGATTTACGAAATCATCGAAGGAAGTTGATCGACATTGATGACGGAAAATGTAGGATGGTCGTTGTAATTTTTTTCGTCACTACTCATAACGCGTATTAATAAAGCCAATCAGTATGTATGTTAAACAATGGACATTTATGCTGTGTATCTATTAGAGTATAGTATGAGTGAAGACGTCGATTGTATGATTGTTACAGTACATTTGCTGGATTTAGTGACGGGTGTGTGTATGGCACGCTAAACGGAACAAGCTGTTCCGCAAATAGGGCTTGTCGATCTATATCAGCGAGAATTCGAATTTTTTAGCATAGTTCAACACCACCGGGTTCAACTATCTGTACCAACAAAAATGCCGAAGCTTTTTTTCAAGATAGGTGGTTATTCAAATAGTTATCTAATTTGAGTTTTAATTATTAATGGCCAATATGCGTAATTAAACGCCTGGGTACTTTCTGAAATTAAACGTTATTTTATTCTGTTGTTCAAAAAATTTGCCCTTGTCCTTTAAATAGAGAAGTGAAGTATTTGCATAATCTCGCTCGTCAAATGAACGAATGCCAATTCTACGTATTAGTCCATGATCTGGTTGTAAAAGAGATTGATTCAGAGTGCGCAGGTGGTTGCTTTAAGGTGACCGACGATCACTATTGTTTAGCCAAGACTCCGACCGTTAGGTGATGACTCAACTCGACATATCAGCGATCGAAATACACAATGAAAATTGCTGAAGACCTAAAACAACATGGTAAGTCTATACGAGATAGCATTAGGAGGTAGCTCACTTACCTCACTAGTTTCCTCTTCGTCCCGAAGAACAGCGAAAACGAAGAAAAGCTTAACCGAGATGATGATGATCGCATTACGACATGTTGGCGTCAGATCCCATATGTTAGCGTAGCGCTACTCGCGTCGTGAATCGTAATAATAAAGCTGTAAGTTTTGTCTCGTGTTCGAAACGTTCGATTGTATGATGTAGACTATCACACAGAATACTGCCACCATGTTACTACAAAACGTGTAGTGCGACCATTGTGACGCGATAAAACACGGGGTGGGCAGAATGCTTGTTGCAAATACTTAGCCACGGCTATCTCGAACAACCCCACTTAGAATGTCAACCTATTCCTATTATTTTAAATGTAGCTCATTTTTTTTTTTCAAACATTAACTATCTAGATGAATCAACATATTCATACCACTGCAAACTAGAAGAACATGTGGTTCGCTCAATATGAATGATCTACATGAACAAGGAAGCTTAAAACTTAGAACCAGTCGGTGATTTCGGTTCTTCGTTTCGGGTCGATGAGTTTGATATTGTCAATATTTATATAGTTCGTTATCTAAATAGTCAAAAACCTCATATACAAAGGGAGTAGGGCGAAAACCAACTGACGAGTGAAAATCTTCTCGGACACATTCTCATCTTTGTTCTGCGTCCCTTACAGATATAAGATAAGAAATTTTCACTATATACGTATATACACCTATGCATAGCACTCATTACGTGACATCCTCGACGAAAGAAATCACCATACAATTTTGTTGTTACGTATTTTTTTTTTTTTTGTTAAATCATTTTTTTCTCTTCATTTGATTCTCATTAATCCAGGTCACATTAATCAATTTTGCCACGATAAACGGTTGAGTTCTCTCTATCTTTATAAAATTATCAATAATCCGAAAGCAGTCTAGAATATTTGTAATCGTAGCTAAATATCTATTACATTGGCATTTACATGCTATCTATCTTGCAGATGTATTTAAGTTTTTTTTTTTTAAAAACAGTCTACTTTAGTTAGGTCTGGAGGCGACATGGACCATGATTTGTTCAACATATATAGGAAATCGTATAGACCGGATCTCGATTGTATAGACTATCTGGAAAACGTTTTCTAGCGCGTGGAAGAAGACTGGCTGTATGTTCTACAACGTAATCTAACCCTAACACCCTGATCTCATTGTTTACACCTCCATTGTTTACAACTCTAAGTTTACACCACCTATGCTATATTCTTGTTTCGCGTTCCTATATTTGACTAAGGAGTAAGATATTAGGTCAAATCTTTAAGAGTTTAGCAAGCGTCGGTGCCTAAAAAACTCGTGCTAACTATCCACAGGTCACTATATTTCTACCGATAATGACGATAGTAGTGTACACACTAGGAAGTTCTCTTTCTCGGCGGCTTATAATACCCGCCGCCTATTAAAACTCTTTTTAAGCCCTTTTGTGAATAGATCATACGACAGATCTTCAGAAAAGCCTATCAGAGCATAGACTTTTAGTCTTCATTAACATAGAACTTTATTACTTTTTCAGGAACTCAATTTTCGTTTATCATCTGTGCTGGATGTTATACCAGTTCGGTTTATTGCTTTTAAAGAGTTACTTATTATAATCCCCTTGCAAACGTAAGTACGACGCTTTCAAATATCAAATTGCGTATAATACCGTCCTTGCCTTGGCGATTCACTTTTGAAGAAGTGATATTTTTTGGTTTTTCTAAGAATTCGTGTAGTCTTGTGACTCGCAGAATTCTTCTCACCGAAGCGGCCCTTTGGTCATAGCGGATTGTACAAGATCCTTTGCAGCGCAGAATTCAGATAAAATAGTCTCTTCAGGCGTTTCTTCAGCTGTTCGAGACCTCTGGAGGTTTTCCTAATCTGCTTGCGGTTGATGGGGATCGCGGGTTCCTAAGTTGCTGTGCTGCGCGTTTATGAACGTCGTCTATGAGTCGTTGCTAGTCTTCTTCGTACGGTTTCAAACTTTCGGAATTAGCCCAGTGGGCGAGAAATAGACTAACTTCTTTTCAGTCGTAGAACCAGGACACCATCACGCACATTAGAACCTAAGTTTTGGCCATCCTTTACGGCGGCGAGAGCCATGTTATTACACTGATGTTTAGGGAAGATTGATATAAAACTTTCAATTCGGAAGCTTCCTATGATGCTCCTACATACACCAATATCCCCATGAGATCCTGTTAGTAACTTGTTATCCATTTATATTGGATTGCCAGAGCTGGAGATTGGATAGCTTTGAGACATTTAGGTGTAACAAAGTTTTTACGACCGCATGAGCAGAATTGAGTCAAAGAGATGCGTTTTAACTGAAAGAAAATCTAAAGGCAACGGTATTTCACGAGTAATACCTGTATTAGCACAGTCTGATTTAGCAGGTTGGACATTGCGATTGGAATTCTAACTGTCACCTTAAATTGAGATGCCTCCTTATACCAGAAGCCTGGTGTAGCTGTACTTTAAAGGACCTAATGAGGACAACGGCATCATGTCGAAAATTGTACCATTCAATCCTTTCCATTACCAAATCTGGTTATGTTTCGATTAGACTTCAAGTAGAATGTGTGCGTGATAAGAACATATCCTCCTCCGCCTATAGGTTGTTATATTGTTTCACCGGGCTATTATTATGCCTCAAATCGATCAGCACAATTACACAAATTGTTAGTACATATTATATATATATATATATATATATATATATATATATATATATATATATATATTAGATTGGTCTGAGCGGCGTATCTATACAGGCTATAGCGTGTGCAGCCATTCCAATTTGTTGGAAAGTTAAGACAGCATGCGGGTGTGGGTATGGACCCGGACCATCGATAGTTGAAAGTCAGTCTTGCCTGATCCGGCATTGTTGTTAGTGAATACGTTTCTTGAAGCGTTCATCGTCGTAGTAGTAGAAATGAGTACAGAACGGTACCGGTAGCTTCTGAAACCGTTTATGAAAAAGTCGTACTCAGCGGACTGGCAGAAAAGGAAGGTTGCGAATTGGAACTAGAGTTGGCTCGGCAGCGTATTTGTAGAAGCGGTTATAAGATTAGCGGCTCGCTCTTACCGTCTGGACATCAACTACAGATGCTTAATTACAAGTCAA